TTCTGTACGTGTGTATGTCACTGAACTCCTCCCAAACGGCTGGACCGATTTTAATGAAATTATTTGTGTCTTCAGGGCGATTCGACAATTGTTTTTATTTCAAACTTGTCGAATTCGTGTGTACAGGACGTCTGTCTGGTCCGCTAGTATTAGTATAAAATACAATTAGTATAAAATATCATTGAGCGACTTCCTAATAAGGTAATTTGCGTTTGTGCTTGTAACGCCCGGTTTCTGAAACTCTGGTCGTCGTAGATGGTAACTACTCGGCTACGATGATCAGTGTTTCAGAAACCGGGCGTTAGTGTATGAAACCTCCACCACAAACATTAGTGAAGATTCGTTTTTTCTATACAGACGTTGGACACCAATCACCATTTAATCGATTTTAATATGGGTAACTTAAGGCGCTATTTAAACTCGTTATTTAATTAAATAACATTTAAATCACGAATTCACCATAAAGATTAAGACTAAAGAAACTAATTGAATCATTAACGACGGAAGACTTTTAGATTTCTAGAAAATTTTTAAGTTAAAAGATTACAATAGCAACTCGACATGAAAATATGAATTTAAAATAAAATTATTAATTCGCGAACTCTTATTCTGTTGTGAAAATTATCTGACTTTCACCATTTATAGCTCATCAAAAACTCTTAAAACTACCTACCACTGGAATTCAAACTCCGCAACTCTGATTGCTCTGGATACTCTGGCTTTTGGAGTTATCGTCTTTTTTTCTTTAATTTTAATGAATATTTGTAAGTAAATTAAAATAATAAAGTAATAAATGAAAATCTTATATTACTGTATACCGCAATATAGTGATAATTATTAGTTATAACTGACACAAGTACATATATATTTATGTATGTATTTTAGGGCTAGTCTACCTCTAGGGTAGTCTCTTTGGTCTGCATTTAACATGAAATTTAAATGCTAGTTTAAAAACGAAGTGAGCTAAGTGGCTAACCCACCCAGAAGACCCAGGTTCAAATTCGGACAGAACCGAAAATTCGTCGCCAATTTATATATTAAATTTAAAAATTGGCCATCAGTAAGTATATGAAATAAATAACAAAATTTACAAAAATCTAAGCTCAATAAATGACATCGTTATATGAAAAATATAGCATTTTTTATTTGCCTTCGCGAAACCGATGTAAAGGTATTTCAACTATCACGGTTCGTGAGCGGTAACAGACGGAGTACAGGCGGATAGACAGCGGAGCCATAGTAATAGGGTCCCGTTTTACGCTTTGGGTACGGAACCCTAATAAAACGATAACATCACGAATAACATTTTATTTATATATAATCCACATATTTATTTATCCATTAATAATTATCATTTGGAACGACGAACACACACACCACGTTTACAAGCAGAGCCCTTACCCTCTATTTATATGATAAATAACATAGCTTCTTACAATATAATTTGTCTTTCACAGTACTTTCTATTTATGGAATGCTTATAATATAAATAAATTCTAACCTTACAAGACAATTAAAAATTAGATATGTGATTTTGTGTTCCATTGTTTGTTTGCACACAACGTGAAATATGAAGCTTGTAAAGAACCTATTTCCTTGATAAACGTAATTTTCAAAGCCTTTATTTCATTGTCAAAAATACTTTACAATCCTGTGATTAGATTCCTTAATTATCGAAGATCGCTCTTACGAATTATGTCCTAAAAGTTCACTTGACGCGTAAATTAATTTAATTCTAGTAAGGTGGTAATGAATTTGAGAGCGGTCAATAATCGCTGGATATTTTTTACAATGACCATAAAACTGTTACATGAATTTCATTGAAGCATTGTTAGCCATAGGAACTGACAATGGATAGCTTTACAATATAAATTTTCAACAACCTAGCAACAGACAAGTAAACGAACGTTTTAGTACAGTTGGAAAAACAAATATTTTCTCTCAATATGAAACGGACTGTAAAATATTTAATATTTTACTCATCGTTTAACTAAGCATTACATTGTTTAAATGCAGAGATTAGCACTGTATATAATTTTGTTTTATGTATTACATTTTTATTTAAATGCAAGTTCAAAAAAAAAAGGTTCAATGCAATGCGCCTGCCAGCCAAGTGGTTGTGAAAAGCAACTTCACTTCCAAACTTATGAGTCATTACTTCTGTGCATTAATATATTTTAGGTTACGTTCTGGTTTTATAATTACACTAGCTGTGCCCGCGGCTTCGTCCGCGTGGAAATTAAAATTAAAAAAAAAATCTAAAATAAAAGTAGACAAGTTACTCCTTATTACATCAGCCATCGTCAGTGAAAGTCCCGTACAAATCGGTCCAGCCGTTTCAGAGATTAGCCGGAACAAACAGACAGACAGACAGACAGACAGACAAAAATTGTAAAAAATGTTATTTTGGTATATGTACCGTGTATACATTCATATGCATTTAGTAAAAAGCGCTTATTTTAATATTACAAACAGACACACCAATTTTATTTATCTGTACAGATACATATGTTTCAAAAATTATGGTTCGCTTAGAAGCATTCCAGAAAAACAAGGAGCGTAATTACTATAAGTAAAATTAGAAACAACAAGTGTTAACACAGAATTTTAGTGACTAGAGTAAATGTATGATGCAGCCTATTTTTAAAATCTAATATAATGTCTTTGGAATTTGACTAGGAAAATAAACATACAATTATGTAATTCCAAATCAGTTTAAGCGTAGTTCTTAGGAATTAAACTTTAATTTTTAAAAAAATACTGCTTATTAAAGTTTATTTAAAACAAGAAAATATAGATACCATAAAAATAGTAATATAATTTATGTAAAATTTACATGTACATGTGCGAGTCTGACTATACTTCATACTTTATTAAGAGATCATTTATTGACGGTCCTAATGCTATTTTCGTATATATTTTGAAGAAAAATAAATCAGGGTTTAACTTATCATTCTTTTTCCAATTACTTTACTTATTATTATTTCTAATTGTATCAAAATGTTTGACGTGTGAGAACCACTTTGTGACCTCACTGTTAAAGGGCGAAATTACTTTGGCAATATTTTACATGTATGTACTTTGGCATAATGAAATATTTGATTTCTACGTTTACGAGTCTGGTTTTTGGAATTGCATGTTGATGTGTGTGAATAAAAGTATCGAGAAACAGAAAACAAGGAAGGCATTGGTGTCAATATTACCAAAAAACAAAATGGCGCCTTGAAAAATAAACTGATCACGCGAACTTTTTCACATAAGCTGTAATTCCAATTCATGTAAACTTTTTTACATTCGACAGGATATATTCAAAATGGTTGTTAAAAATTATGTTCCGTGACCCATGAATGTGCTAAACATAACTCTATCTAAATACTAATAGAATATCGTATTGACCATTATTATATTTATAAAGATGAGTCAAAAACCTAATACTCACAGTCGTGAATTTTATTTAAAAAAATTAGAAACTTACTACAGTAGACTATATAAGTAACTAGCACTGGTTGTAGGTAAAAGTACAATTTATCGAAGGACCATATCTCGGTGTATTTTTCAGGTTGAAATAATCTTAATAACCTTATAATAATATGCCACATCACTCAACCTTAACCCAAGTGGGTAGGCAAGGGACATTTTAAATAATTTAAAAAAAACATATATCAAGATAAATACTACTCACTGAAGTGAGTTACTTAGATACGATTATTTAGCACTCTCCTCTTATTTGAGTAATAAAAAGTATCGATAAAACAAATAAAATAGGAGGATAAGAAAGACAAACACAGGCTAATAACATTAGTCGCGCTTGTGCGAGAAAAGTGTCGTCAATAGATATATTCTTAAAAATATTCAGTTTGTAACCAAGATCGCACTAAACATAATGGGATTTATGAAAGTAATAATTTACGAAAGTAATTTATTCATTTGGCTGATCTCGCTTATATCTGTGATAAAATTAGAGATATCTATATATACTTCGTTATTTCATATTATATATATTTATATATTTTCGTTTTTTTGTCGGTTTTTGTCTCAGAGATAAAAGATAATTTTTTAGTTAAGTTTCTGTTCTCCATTTCCAGTTTTATAGTGTTGTCTTTACCTGTAATTAAAATATGTACTTATATGTTTACAACTTTATGATTAAGTTAAACCTATCTGTATTTATTAAGTTTTATAAATAAATAACTAAAAGATACTTAATCTTAAATATTGAAAAATTAAATATTTGAACGTAGTAAGCGTTACATGTATAAGCGTATATTGTGTGAACATTCGAGATTCATGTAATGCCTTTGGTTTTATAAAATCCGAAATCGACGAAAGTACCAGATTGTTTGTGTCTGCGAGACCATAATACATGTTTAACATTTGGTTGGCTTTATTTACGACGTGGTGGGACTTTAGTGACATATAATTTCGGGAAACGTGAACAACAATTTAAAACAAAAAGTTTAAATAATAGCATTAGAGACTCGAAGCGGATACAACTATTAATGACCGTAATTATATCTCATTCACCCTTATGAATAGAGAGGGAGGGGTATATACATCAAAACCTCATATTAACAGATCATTATTATGACGACCATTTGGCGAGGGGAGTAGTGTACCTCCTGCACAGAGGGCGTGGGTTCGATCCTCACTACCGGAAAAATATTGTGTGATGAACATAGCGTTTTCCCGGTGTGTTTATATATGTATACTATGTATCTATTTATTAACAAAATAAAAGTACGTTTAAGTAGGTTCATCAGTTTCCTAGTGCCCGTAGTACAAGCGTTGCTTAGTATGGGACTGGGGAACGTTGTGTAAAAATGCGTCCGCAAAAATATTATCTACTATCTTATTGGAATCAAAAAACCCCTCCCCCCCCCCCTTTATATGTTATTATCTATTATCTCATTGAAATCGATCATATTAACCCCCCCCCCCCCCCCCCTTTCCTCCTTCCCCTTACTTAAAAGCCAATGCGCTGCAAGCAACGGGGCCAATCATCCGATGCTCTGCAACGAATGCTTGAACTGCAGCAGCTTCCCGAGGTTGGCGTGCACCAGATCCGGTGGGTGGGAGATCACGAAGTAGACCAGCCCGAGGATCGGGAGCACCGCCCGCCAGATCGACAGGTGGGTCCACGTGTGGTAGAATGGTGGAATCGCCGACTGGAGGCAACGTAGCGGTTGGTTGTTTGGTTAGTTAGAGGATGTTTTTGGAGTTAGTACCGCGACCTCGCAGAGGAACGGCGTGAAGTGGAGGTTTTTTTTTTTTAATGTGAATTTCGCCCATTGACATCTGCCACACCCGATGTGTTGACAACATTTTTGTCAATTTGGCTCCGGCTACCTCACTCACCGGACGAAACGCGAAAGTATTTGTCACACTTTACACACACCTACGTTTGTCACATTTTACGCCAGTCTTCTGTGAAGTCGTGGTACTTACCCGGAGCCTGCCCATTCGTGCAACAGCCGAGGCTGCTACGTAGCTCTACCACCGTTACCGTGTTACACTTCTAGCGGTTCGTCTGGTGAGCGAGGTAGCCGGGGCCAACTTTATTGAAAGTTGGAATCGCGTCTACTGCCCTACGGGAGTCGCAATTGTCCAAGGGCGACGGTGCGACGGTTATCACTTAACGTCACGTTAACCGCCAGCTCGCTTGGTACATTCTCACATAAAAAAAATTGATTAATATCAGTAAAAGTAAAGTAACAGCCTATACACGTCCCACTGCTGGGCAAAGGCCTCCTCTATACAGAGGGTATCAGGGCATAGTCCACCACGCGGCCCCACTGCGGATTAGCGGACTTCACATATCTTCGAAATATATATTTTTTTGTTATTATTTCGAAAATATGCAGGTTTCCTCACGATGTTTTCCTTCACCGCGGAGCACGTGATAAGTCAGCACTTAAAGTTAAAAACTTCACTGGTGCCGGCAACGGGGATCGAACTCAGGTTGCTCGAGTATATATTGAATTAATGGCGAGCGCCCGGACACTGAGCTATCACGGATTAATATTAATCGACGTTTAAACCAATGTGTGTATGTGTGTGATAAAATGGATCCCTTACCGCTGTCGCGTTGCCAGTCGAGTTGGCCACCATCGGCGCGTACTGGTAGACCATCAGCTCGTCGTACATCCTCGCGGCGGCGCAGACCAGCAGACAGGCGGTGTACAGGATGACCAGGACTATCGGCTGGAACCAGGGCTGGAGACCGCGCGTCAGGTCTATGCTGGTCACGTCCAGCCTGGGAAATAAGGAGGGCGCTACTTTGATTTGCGAGTCTACGATAATCGGATTTAATAAAGTATGTTAAAACCGACTGCAGCATTTTATATCGAGGAGTTCCCTGGTGTTCCTCCGCAAGTCATCATCCAATATCATCGATACTAATAAGGGTCCACGTGGGAACTTAAACAAACTCAATGCAAAAAGAATTATTTTAATCGACCCATAAATGACGAAGTTCTGAAGTAACAAACACGGACTTTTGAGGCAACAAACATATAAAATTCAGAAAATCCTACTTTTTTCAAGTACTTAAGTGTCACATTTATAACTTACAAAACTTTACACTCTATATGTATATTGAGACCACCAGACAAAGGATAAAAATGCAATATCAATTTAACAATTTATTTATGCAATAATATTTACGAAAATCAAAAATTTATCAACTGTTAAACTAAAACTCATAATACCCTAAGACCTACATTCATTGACTTCATTTTTATCAATCATCTGCTAAGTACTGTACATACCCATTACAATATAAGAGTCCGTTAATAAATCGGCTACTAACCAAATAGTTAAATGTATTTTCACGCAAATTATAAAACGCCCAAAGCAAAATGTCATCATTCTAAAACATTGATGTGAATGTAAGCGTTGTTTTAACTCGGTAGCATATTTGCCGCATAAAGTTATGCCGCCAAACTGTAAATGTTGTTCACTCTATGCTATGCAAATGTAACATGGTTGCATTGCAAGTTTCCGATTAAATTCCCGACTCGAACAGAGTGGCAGATGACCAGTTACCAAGATATTGACATCGGCGTCGGGGGTTTCGGGTTTGACACTACAAGTATTTGCGCGACACAGGTAGTTGTTTCCGATGGTTGCCCGCTTGAAATTTATGTTTATAAAAAGTCCTTACAACGCAGGAATAATGTTATCCTAAAGTTAGGGTTAATTCATTGTTACAAATGCTAAAAAACAGTGTGTATAGATAACGTTGAGATTTTCGTCGGTATGGCAATCAGCATTTTAGCTTACTGCCTAAAGCTTCAGTGCTCGAATCCCGAAGACGCTGCTTCGATTCCCACACGGGCGCAAATCTTTCGCACTTTTTCTACACATTTTAATATTAGGTTAGGGTTAAAGTTATGACGTGCTCCGCGGTGAAGGAAAACATCGTGAGGAAATCTGCATATTTTCGAAATAATAACAAAGAAAGAAATGTATTTCGAAGATATGTGAAGTCCGCCAATCCGCAGTGGGGCCGCGTGGTGGACTATGCCCTGATACCCTCTGTATAGGAGGCCTTTGCCCAGCAGTGGGACATGTATAGGCTGTAACTTTTTTTTTTAAGTTTAAAACAATTTAAATCGATTGTGACGATCACCTGTCCAGCACGGAGAGTATGCACAGCGCGCAGAGGAAGTAGTAAGCGGCCACGTAGGGCATGGTGACCAGCGTGTGGAACGCCAGGTGGCTGCCGTCCAGCCCGTCCGAGTAGCTGATGAGCAGCAGGTGCATCAGCGACAGGCCGCCAAGCACACCGTGGCAGGCTGGGGAGCAGCTGCGCCACGCCTTTTGCAACGCCAGCGCCACGTCCAAAGGCGTCAGGTCGCCTAACCTGAGTTTTTTTTTATGTGACAAAGCCCAAATATCTATTATTTAACCATTTATTATCTTTATTTTTAAGGGGTTTTATCAATAAAGATAATCTCCATCTTAAATCAGCTTGATATAGAGAACACGATACTTGGCCATATTGCACGCAGTGGAACAGATAACCTTGAGCCTTTATAGTTACGGGGAAAATAGAGAGTAAAATACCTAGAAGTCTACGGTGGCAGGGCCACGCAGCAACCTCGGCTGTTGCACGAATGGGCAGGCCCGTCCGGGTAAGTGCCACGACCTCACAGAAGACCGGCGTAAAGTGGAAGTATAATACTTTCGCGTTTCGTCTGGTGAGTGAGGTGGCCGGAGCCCAATTTCCAAAAGGTTGTCAACACATCTGGAACCGAGTGTAGCAGATGTCCATCGGCGGCGGTACTACTTAACATCAGGTGAACCGTCTGCTCGTTTGGCAACTTTTCACATAAAAAAAGAGGCCGTACTGCTAAACGGGCGAATCAAATTTCAAAAACCTAGAAATCCTCATAAGCGACGCACTCCACCTGGCGACGTAGCGAAACCGATGGAGACAGCTCGTTGACCAAGTAAATATGAGTCACGATCCTCAGCAGTGAGGGAACGACTAAGAAGAGAGATGTGACAAAGCGGTAACTGATGGTAAGTGATCACCGCCGCCCATGAACACCTGCAACACCCGAGGGCTTGCAAATGCGTTGCCGGCCTTTTAGAAAAGTGTATGATCTCTTCTTGAAGGTTCCCAGGTCGTGACGGTTCGGAAAGACCGCCGGCGGCAGCTGGTTCCACAGATCGGTTGTGCGAGGCAGGAAATGCCTTGAAATCGGGCTGTTGTTACCCGATGTTAAGCGATAACCGCCGCCCATGGACATTAAGTGGTTCGACGCAGAAGAGTAGCCGTCCTCTGTGAGGTCGTGGACGGACGGCCCATTGGCGCAACAGCAACCACTGTTGCGTGGTCCTATCACAGTTATAGTGGTTACATTTATACTAGTATGGTATTTCATCGTTATCTTTGCCAAGGTAACAGTATAAGCAACTAATTAATCATCATCACCATCATTTGATGCTGAACATAAGCCACAATGTGGGGAACCACAGGCCGCCACGAAGCAAGATTCTAAGCCATCTGAATAGTATATTCGTACTTCGTGGCAGTCTATGGGAGAGGCCTATGTTCAGCAGTGGACTCAAACAGGCTGAAATGACGATGATGATATATTATAATTATTATATTATAGTATATATATAATTATTATATTATAGTATTGATCTTACACTATTATGTGGGTATTCAAATAGAATATTTGTCTGACTGGTTACTTTCATTTTAATACATAAAATAATTATTCTGATATAATGTATGTCAATAATTATATTACCAATTATACTCAGTTAAATATTTGTCTATTACACCTACACACACAAGAAAACTCTTGCTTTTGCACTATAGAGATAGTTAGGGACAACAAAACAGCTTATGTTATCCAATCTTCATTCAGATTATTGAATACCAAAGTTGACAGGTCTTTACTCTGTAAATGGAACTCCACACTACATTACCAAAGAACATTATAAATCCTACCATCCTACTAATTTAGGCCACAAACAATTTCATAAATATGTCTATATATTGTAATGTCTATTATAAACATTACATATCCTCAGGTATGTCTAACCATACACAATTTAATATTTTATTTTTTACAATTTAATATAAATGAATATAAGATATAGAAGAAAGGACATATAGCATTCAAGGTTAAGATGATTTAATAAACCCAATTTAAATTGGTCTTGATAACAATAAAAAACAACTTTTTTTAAGTACCCTTGACATAGAACAATATTTAATTCGAATTATTCACTTTTAATTCATATATATTTTTTTGTTTCAGTGCTAGTAATATTGGATTAAGATAAGTTTAGTAGAACTGCAATCTTGACACTTTTTTTTATAGTAAAACTGAATTAAACTAAGAAATCTTTGCAATAATTTGTTATACACATTTGAATTTCATTTAAAATGCACTTAGAAAATTAAATTGATAATAAAAATCCTGATAGAATTTTGTTATGACAAACTGCTATTTCATAAAATAGAAATAGATGCTATATCAATCAATTTTACTAACCTCAAATATTTCTCATCATCTTTGGACTGCTGTGACTGCAAAATCGTATCTCTAGAAACAGCTTTGAAAGTGCCGCCTCCTTGGAGATAAATCTTATCAGTTCGCCGAGAAGCAAATGGGTCTAGTCTTTCATCATTTGGTGATGTCAGGGGTGATGGAGATGAGAAAGGATTGTCAATGTACTGGTCATGGTATGGCACATTTGACTCGAGACTTTCCAACATTGTTGTTAGGTCAGTTGGACGAACTGAAAACAGGTAGGAGTAATTGTTAAACATAATGTATTAAGCATTGCATTTAATGTGACTTTATCTATGTAAAAACGAGATAGAATTGGAATTCTGTGTAAGATTTGTTTAATCAAGTAAATTTTAAATAAAATTTTATTTGCATAAATGTCGCTTTTTGTATGTTGAAAAAGAGAAAGAACTGGAATTCTATGTAAGATTTAGTCGTCCGTTTAATGCCTCCACAAAGTAAATCAACTAAAATCCTTTTAAAATACTACTAAGAAAACTTACTAACTTTATATACTACTAAGAAAACTTCACAGCATACATTTATATCATTAATCAAATAAAATTTAAAAAGACATCTCACCTGGTTTTGGGCCCCCCTTACTTTTAGTGGCGGTCTTAAAGACCTTAGGGCTTACATCCCGTCCATTGGCATTACCATCATGTCTCTCCTCTCTAGCTTTTCGTCTTGTCTTCCTTGGCTTATGTCTTGAATCTTTGGAAATGCCATTATTGTTTTCAATGTCATTGGACTCGATTTCCAGCTCCCCACTCAAAGTCACCACTTCATCTTTGTTATACTCTTTCAAGTAGTCATCTACCTACAAAAAATAACATTATTGTAAAATTTACAAGAAATTAAAAACCATTTCTATATTTAAATTAATAAATAATATTCAATGTGTTGAAAGTAATTTTGTTAATTCCACACAATGGTCTGAAGATGAAACCTAAAATATAAAGAGTGAAAAACTAAATTATAAAGTGCTCCATAATAATTTATTGTTGTCCAGTATATACTCAATCCTTCTGCAGAACTATAGTTGTATACAAAACTACAAGATTCAATAGAAAAACCATATTATATTCAATACATTCACAATAATGTAAAATTGCTACCTTTTCTAAAGCACTGAGACTTGAACCCGGCACCTCAAAATCATGAAGATCCCTATCCCTATGGCGAGATGAGTGGCTTTTTTTCTTCCTATAAGATGGACTGCGCTTTTCTTTGTGACCACTTGACGGTCTGGACAAATTTTTCATTAATTTCTCATCCAAACCATTTGGATCATGAGAGTAAAATACAAACGAAGGATTTTTGTCAGACTTCTTTATTTCCTTCTCAACGAAACCTAGTATTCCCATTTTTATTTGATCATGGATAGGAATTTCCACATCAAGCGACTCTTGTTCCGAATTTATCCATTTCTCACGAGTTTTCGTCTTTTCAGGTGACTGCTCCGATTTCTCTTCGGAGGGGGGAGGTGGGTCTGTGGATTCTGGTCCTGTCACATGCCCATTGGAGAGTTTTCGTGAACCCGATCTGCTCCTTGGTTTCTCATTGCCTTTGTGCTTCGGAGAGGGAGACCGGGCAACTGTATGCACCTCTACTATTTCTTCTTTAACTTCTACACTCTTACCTGGCTTCATTCTTACTATTTTTTAATAATACTTCAAGCAATACTTTTAAATTAAAAATTTACGAAATTGCTCCTTTTTACTGACTAATTCATACGTGCTAAATAAATAAATAAAAAAATATTAAATCTCTTATATGCTTTGAGTACTTTTTGGGCCCTTGTGTGCATTGCTTCTATTTTAAATAAATATTTTAACTAATTAAAAACAAATGAAGGAGCGCTGAAATGTCAAATGTCAAGGAATGACGTCAATGTGACGTCATAGGCACACAATAGAAGAATGACATTCCTTTTTACGTATGTTAAACATTTTTAAGGAATCGTTTTTTAATTGATATTTTTATATAATTTTTAAAACATCATAATTGGTAATTGGGTCGGAGCAACATTATAATCATCTTGATAATAGTTTTTGCTATGTTATTGCGACAGCCCACCTACTCCCCTTGGAAACAACAACCTAGACCCTGAACAATTGTCGGTAGGACACACAAACACTGGTTCAGGCTGGAAATCGAACCTGCGACCTCTAGCACCGAAACCAATAGCCTAGCAAATATGCCAACGAGTTACCAATTGAAGTTTATTTATTAATATATAACAATAAAATAAAATATCAATTTTATTGCAATTAAGTTGGAACGTGTAAGCACTAAATATTTGTGACAATATTATAAAGACTTTAGAGCTTTGTTATGTATGACACAGAATTTTTATATAGTATAGGATTTTCAATCTACAAGACCTTCATCATACTTAAATTTAAGAAAAAATGTTTTTACTATTTAATACTTTTGTGTGCACATAGTATTGGAAACTAATGCTGCGCTTTGATGCCCATATCGCATCCATGACTGTTCAATTTTCGTAATATAAGTACAGTGTTTACGTACAACATCGATATAAAGTAATATACGGCGGCACTTGAGACTTCATAAGTTCAGTCTTATGAGTTACTTAATCTCCACTTAACGACTAAACGAAAGTAAGGATAAATTAATAATAGTTAATGTGACCGCTTCTGAGGAAGACTACTGCGAAACTTTTAAAAATATTTTTACTTAGTGCTACACATAACTCTATATAGACATTGTATATATTGCAAGTAATTGCATTAGTTTCTGTATAGCGTTGTTTGTCGTGCTTAAATACCTCATTTCAATCTACAACCATAATATCACGTTGTAATAGGTAAATTATCTTTACAGCGGTTTAACATAAGCACCGTAAGCTCTAAAAAAAAGATAAATAACTGAATGACTAAAACCACCACAATGAGTCGCATGGTGACAGACCTATAATAATAATTTCTAAGTTAGGAATGGGCGCCGCGCGGCCCGTACCAGCTGGCGACTGGACTGGACTCACAATTTTGGAATGTTGCCGACCTTTAGGCGACGCCTTGTAATGGTGCAAATCACGAGCGCACCGCGGAATTACATCTGCCAATGAGACGCGGATCCTGAGATTTGGAGGGGCAAATTGAAGTTTGTTGGAATAATCAGCATATATATTTAAAAAATCTACGATTTTTGAATATTAAATTCTTTGCTCTTCTTATTATTATCAGTTTTTGATTTAAAAAAATGTAAGTAATGAACTAATCCAATTATATCTTTCAGAAGAATTATATATCATCGACGCCTCCCATGAACTGCGACTCCCTAGATTTAAGAGTGCTGCTAATGGCTGTTTCTTTATTTATAAAGTTGGTGACAATATGTTTTCTCGGTGAAACATACACTTTTAAATATCCGTGTTCAATTAGTATCGTAAGGTCTTTTAAACTTAGAAGCTTATTATATGAAGCTTGTTATAACAAAATCTAATTCATAAATGAAGGCACTCGTTTTGACAATGTCGCTTTATGTACTGGTAAAGCTTAATTTATATTATTTAGTACATTTTATATATAGGGTCCGTTTATGACAAGGCCTTTAGAAAACCGCATCCGAAAATATATGTATGATTTGATGTCGGGAGAATAAGCCGTATAAGGAAGTACCTAATTCTAAATCAAAATGACGAATTTGAGCCATGAATTCAATAGACGTGAGAACGCCAGCATTATCCTGATGAAGGAACACTCTTTCTGAGGAATCCATAGTTTCAGCTGATAGTTCCCTTGCCAAATGTTCACATAAAAAGTGTTTTGGTCATAAATTGGACAAATAATGGCCGTACAAAAATCCGTGTGAAAATCGACATAACGCTTCTAAGATGTTCAAGAGATATGAAAACAGAACATTGTATCTTGGGTTTTAGGCAAATATATCACTTTAAATTTCCCTTTTATTGGTTATTTTGTTCTACTTTCTTACTATTTAATTTTTATTACTTACTTTTTATGTACTATACCGGCCTTTGTTTATTTTCAACTTCATATATGCCACTTAAAAACTTTGCTAATTTGTATTTGGACCACAAGCAGTTCTAAAATTGTTTTACTTTAGACTGGAAAATTATTCAAAACATTGTCGACTTCTACTCAACTTTAAAAAGATCGCCGTTTATAATAGGTTTTATTTTCAACAGACCTAAAATTTTAATTTAACCTATTTTATAGAGTATTCATTTTGTCTCAAGCTATTTTGGTATTTTCCATTTATATAAACGGTTAAACTATATTTCTGTACATCTGTTCAAATAACATAAATTGTTGTAAATAAAAAAAAAATTTGAGGAACATGTTTTTCGTTCATTTTTCTGTCTTTATCTTATTCTCTTACCCCATCTTGGTGGGATCGGCACATATGAATCACGTTGTTAACGGTAAGTATTGCATTTAATATATTTTTATGACCGGCCGACTACCTGGGAATACACACCCAGATCCTGAAAAATTATCGGAGGATAATCCAGCTCCACGACCCCTGGAGCTGAAACCAATAGTTTAGCCATTGCGCTAACGAGTCATCGTTATGTTTTTTGAACCATCTTTTATAAAAACCAGTATTCTTAAATCTAAACAATACAACTTTAAAATTTTTCGGCACCACTAAACTAAACGGCACAGATCCAGAAGACCTCGATTCAATTCCTGCTGCTGAAAAAACTTTATGATACACTTTTAGTAATTTATAACACGATACATTTTCTTAATAAGTACTTTATTGTAATGTTTTATAATTATGAATGATATTACAGATTTATCGCGTTTATTTTCATAATTCCCAACGTTTCGAACCCTTTACAGCGTTCATGGTCACGGGACAGACTGAGGCATTAGACGTCTGATTGTCATAGTTAACCCGGTCTACCGTCAGTTTTTGAATTATTAATTTTGTGTCCTATCTATGCAGAGGGAGCTAATTAACCTATTAATAATACTATCATTATGCAAGAATCAATATTCTTACGAATGCACAAAGAGTCCTATTTAAAAGATTATTTCACTAAGATATGAAATGCATGTTATAGATTATGAACTATCCAGAATTCAAACTGAATTTATCGTGCTTATAAGTAATCGGCAGTGTCGACCGCGTTTCCAACACTCACGCTTCGTGCACGTGTCCTTTGCCTTTAAGACTCTACGCATACCTAAATACCTTTGTACAAATAGATATACAAATAGATATACACATATAAACAACAAAATCAACACTAACTAATTAAGCAGCAGCAAACCTGATATAGCATTAAAAAGCACCAAACTTCTAAAGCTAGTCAAACATGATATGAGGTACTTTCAATTCCACGTGTATTAATAATTTTAGGTGTTCATAGAACCATCATTATTTTGTATCTGTTATACTGTCTACTAATACTGGATTAGTGCAAAGAGAATGTAATCACTACGTTTATTACGTGGATTAGTGAGTTGAAATATTAGTGTCAATATCTGGACTTTTAGTAAAATACGTGGCTTTTGTGTTTTATAAGTTCAATAACTTTATTCCTTTCTATATTCTCTTACCTAACGTGTAGGAACCGCAAACACGCAACCACATTTTAAGAGCTTTCTTCCCGGATAAAAAATTGATGTCTCTTACTCAAAACGGAAAATCTTTGATATCAAGAACTATTTATTACTTCGATGTATAAAGGGTCAGTATGTCAAGTCAATCAATTTTCTTTATTTAAAACTATGTAACCATTTTTTCTTATTATAGATATGAGCAAGGGTTTACTGACAAGTCAATACCTGAAAATGGTATAGCCGTTAAGGAGATCCAAATAATGAATCACACGTTACTCATTTATTAAATACGGGACCTTGACATTATTATATACTGGGACGAGAAAGAGAAATTTGTACAGTTGATTAGCTTTTACTCGCCACTATTTCTGGGTGATTCTTTTCAAAATGAGTTACGTGTACTAGACTAATCATAAGACTAGACAGATCATAAGCTATCTTTTTTCCTATCCGTTGAGCAGTTGTACAGAGCGATCTAACAAATGTACACACAAACTTTTGCGTGTATCAAGTTTTAGTGCAATTACTCCTATTAAATAAAAGTAACTATTGATGAAAGAACTTATATCTTGTAATAATTGGTTTCATATACACTTTTTTTGTTTATTAAATTAGTTACTTACAGCACATCGACTTGTTACATATCATACTGATCAGATTCCTAAGATCTGATGAGAAATCGTTACGTGCATTACATCTCAGATTTCGTCAAAGCTGCAACTTATGAAAGGCATATACATAGCGATGAAGACTTATAAAGACGTCGATAAGTATGAATTGTCAAGTGTCATCTTACACAAAGATCAGCAACACTCCCCCCTTCCCCTCATTTTTCTTGGGCGAGGTCGTTCTCCCCTCCAGTTGAGGCGAAAGGCAGCCACTTTCACTGTAAGAATTTGGGTAGTGGGTGACTGCTGACGTCAGATTTACGCAACTTGACGCAACTCGAGTTCAAAGCTTCTACTCCATCCACTTTAGGGAAAGAATAATATACGAGAAGTTTATATAATGATGAAAAAAATGCGTCGTCAACATTTCTCTCCATTTACTTATTTCCGACCTCGCGTAAACTAAACATATAAAATATGTCGTCAGCAAAAATTTCCCCGTTGTCCAAATATGCGACCCAATATTATTTTTTCGGGACCCGCTGACATGTCGCGACCCATGAAATTGGCAACGCTGCCTTACGGCCAGTGTCAATATTATATCTACAGATGGATTTGGTTACTCGAGATAGAATTTTGACGTAAGTATTATTGAGCTATTTCAAATAGGTACCTATCGTAGTTATCAAATCTATCCCACCACATCTATCTGTAGATAGAATATTGCAACCTGCCGTAAGATAGTAGGCGCTGCAGGTAGTAGGCCTGACTTGTTGTCGCCACCTCAATTTGAATCCGTTGTCTAGATCAAAGGCCACCGACAGGCTACTGTAACAGCACCAAGATGACCTTAAATATTAGGTACTCTATTCTTTAAAGTGAGGCACTTTTTATACAATTCAAAAGCCCCCGATATAAATTCAGAGATCGTTGTTTGTTTTTTTTAATACCCATCAACTGGTTTTCTCCGTTCTCGTTCCTGTTAGAACGTGATACGAATGGCAAGTTTTATTGTTACAAAAACACGCTCGGTTAAGGATCATGGAAAGAATCTTTGCATTTCGTCCGTTTGTTCGTATTTAGTTCAATGTGTTCATGATTAAGACCACAACCCGTGTGGTTACAGAAATTTTGTTTTCATATATTTAGAACGTACATACATACATCAAAAAGGTAAAAAAGCATATTATCTTAGCTTGATAGTCGTATTATGTCGTTGAAAGTTGCGACTAGACAATGTATTGATAGAGCCTGTTAAGCATATAAATATTAATTAACAAGTTTAGATCTTTTAAAAAGATCGTACAATTTTATTTTATATAAAATACTATTTGCAATACTAAGACAAAAAATTTTAATGTTTAACATCTTTTTTCACATCTAGAAAGCTTTATCTATCAAACAGTTGACATGTATTTGACGTAGAGGAATACATAATAAAACGGAGCCGTGAGCCGTGATAGCTCAGTTTCCAGGCGCTCGACTTTAATTCAATATACTCGAGTGACCTGAGTTTTATTCCCGGTGCCGGCAACAACGAAATTGTTAAATTTAAGTGCTGACACGTGCACGTGATAAACGTGCTCAGCGGTGAAGGAAAACATCGTGAGGAAACCTGCATGTTTTTGTAATAATGACAAAAAATATTATTTTGAAGATATATGAAGTAGGTACGCCAATCTGCGGTGGGGCCGCGTGGTGAACTGTGCTCTGATACCTTCAGTACAGAGGATGCCTTTCCCAGCAGTGGAAAATGACATGTATAGGCTGTAACTTTATTGTTACATTGTATCCTCAGACTCTACAAAACAGATCCAAACTTTAATTCGAAAAGGCCTCATATGCATTGAAAACATTTCCATTTTATGATATGCAGTTGGCGCGAACAGAACATTAAGAACCTAACAAAATCGCTGCCACACCTGAAGAGCGTTTTGCTTTGTCTATCAAAATGCTGACCACCTACATTTCAATTAACTTCAGAAATGTAGGCGTCTATTGTCCTCTATGACCTTCACCGTACCTCTGACTCGCCCCTTTATTATGTCCATTAAATCAATAATAGTATGTAAATAGTAATACACAACGAGGTATAAATCGTTATATTATGCGAGACACGAGATATAATTATCAATAAAAAGCAAATAATCTTTCGAATGGCCATTTAATAACATTACTGCGTTACACAAATTCGTATATTATTCTACATTAGTTTGGTCCAATAATTACTTTTATTGCTATAAAAAGGACGCTAACTGCGTCGAAACTTAATGTAAATGCTTAATTTAATAGTTCCCTATTACCCAACACCATCCTATATTTAGTCGTACATACACAAATTACATTTTACGTCATCAGTTCTTATAACAATGCACTACGCAAATTTTGTCCCGAATAAATTTGAACATTTCAATGTCTATTTGGCACAAAATTTTTAAATATCCAAATTGAGAATTCGTTCTACGGCTATCGAACTTACAAGTAAAATTACACCTACATTGCAAGTGTCCCTTTCTTGTGAGCAATTTCGCTCAAACAATATCTACAATAATATAATCACAGACCTCACGCAGACCTCTTTCAAACGCTGATACCTTAACATCAATAACTTAATTAAATAACTAATCTCGTTGAAACTTTGTAAAGTTATACTAAACAAACGAGTATACTTTTGAAAACTTCGTAGCTAAAAAAAACATTTCGTATTTACACAATCCTAACCTATAAGTTCATAGAACGTACTAGAAATATATCATAGATATATGGGATAAACATTACCGCCTTTCGACGGGCGATGTCGCGTGTGCTTCCGAATCAGAATAGATTGAGAATCGACATTCGCCCTCTAATCGCCGGTAAAAAAAGAACTTAACGACTAACACCACCGAATTATCCCCGTCCAATAGAATTCCGGAGAAAATTACCTTTCTCGAATTTTATGGAGGGGCAACGTTCGACCCGACGGTGGTCCCAAGGCGTACTCGCCCTTACAGGGACCCCTCGAGGCGGTCGACAAACTCCTGTACTGCGTCACGTTTTGCGTTAACTTCGAAAAACGAGACCAGTCGTCGCGCTGTCCGCATTACCGCGGCCCACGCACTCGCCTATTTACAATAAATATTTACATTACACTTAAAGCTAAGACGCCGCCGAAGCTGTTACAGGCAGTACGGGTGGCAGAACTGGTACACCAGCCTCTGGCTCCTCTCCGTCTTCTTCATTATGCCCTTCTTGTAGTACTGACGTATGCTCCGCGACAGTTTGTCGTAGTTCATCGCCGGCCTGTTCTTACGCTTGCCCCATAGCCTCGCGACACGCACGGAATCCTCAATTTTGAACACACCGTTACCTGAGGAGCAAGACATACATTAAACATCGCGCAATCGAGCCTCCGCTGTAAATTGAGCGATAATTTTTAGCTGACACGTTGCGTTGGAACAGTTGTACATTTGCTCGTATCGAAATGGAAGAGTGCACGCGGTTTTCGATTTTAAACGTTTATGAATAAAGTCTTGATTAGCTATTGTGTTGATGTTCACGTTTGGTAGCACTTGAATAATGTAAAGACTATATCGCCAATAAGCTCCGACGTCTATGTAATATAAATTGTGAAACACCAAAAATAAATGACCTTCATCAGCGCTTAGAATTCACTACGGCCATTCGATTCTTAGCACGGAGCGTCTAAGCGGCGATATAGATTTTCCGAGAATTCGTTTCGGATATCTAACGGAACGAATCTGAGTTCAAATTGTCTGCGCGTTTAAATATCTGAACATGATCTATAGACAGTGTAAAAAAAGGAACGGAGCTAAATGGTAATGTAACTAAATAACCTATAAATCGTAACAATGCGGTGCCATTGGCATAAGCTAGTCACGATGCCGAGTAGTAACCTTTGTTGCGCCGAACCACACTGTTGAGGACCTAACAGATGCTAAGTAAACGGCTCGCTCACCTTGGTACGTGAATGTCGTTATGATTTTCCCACTAACTAATGATTTTACGGCTAGAACTGTGGCTAAGTGCATTATACACAATAATTAAAGCTCCCTGGCGGAAACTGTCTCACTGGCTGTTAGCGCCATGCTGTATGATGGTTTGAATTAATTTGAAACAACCTGTTTTTAAATTCTTGCAAAATTAGTCTTTGTGCCGCTTTAGATAACTATAAAAGAGATTAAATTTGAGTTTTATAAAGTTCGACTGATTGTTAAAAAAACTCTATTTTTGTAATGGACAAGTAATTATTAATTACTAATTAATAATGTATTTGTGTTTATTGAAACACAAATACAAACTAGAATTCGATACAGCTAATTCTATAATAAAGTATTTTATATTTAATTCCCCACGAAAGATACGCTACAGTAAATGTTGAGATTTAGAGATGCAACGAGTGTCTATATTTTGTATTCGGCTTTATTCCAACTTACTTATACTACATTCAGATATATTTAATATATTTCAATTTAAAAGAAATGGAACACTCAGGTAATTAAAATAAAACTTTAATTTATCAGGTTTTCATGGATCATTTTCATTAAGAAGGGTTAGTCATGAGCGAAGCAGTTCGTAATACAAAAAAACAAAAGACAACATTTTATCAGCGATATACAAAAAAAATGATTTATATAGCTTAGCAAACAATTTGGCATGATATCATTAACCAATGAACATTTGATTTTTGTGATTATTTCACAAATCGCCCGTCTTGTTGCCAAGTAAGATAATAACGTAAAATAAGCAACCGTTGCTCATTTGAATGCGGCATTGAGTAATCGTGGAATTGGTTATAATTTATTATTAGTTCTATTATTAATCTAATCCGATTATCAATTATAAAACATGATTGCGCCATAAAAAAGTTTGTATTGAATATTAAAAACTTCATAAAAATTAGTAGAACAATTTACAATGGTAAGTAACTTCACGCAGGATGGCGAACATTTGGCAGTTAAATTTTGTCTCGAACAATAAAAAAGTATGACTTAAATATTCGAAATGTTATGTGAAAACAATTTAAAATGAATCATATGTCGTATCTTGTAATATGTATCTCATTTTATGTAAAACTTTGTGTTTTTTTTTTTGAGAATAAATTCTTTAAACCTAAAACAATTTATTAACTTTCTGAATGATTACGTGTGAGCGCAGAGTTCACCGAATATGGACATAGTTTACTACAATTTGCAAACTATTCGCATGGAGTATCTCGTGTAGCTTATAAAAACAACCCAGAAATATCCAAACATGCTTTACCATGATGATATATATATCTCCAAAGTTTGTGCTTTAATTGTTGACATTTTTTTTAATTATTGCACAGTTTCACATTAAAGACATTGAAAAATGAAATTGTTTTATAACAATTTATTCAATAGCTTGATATGATACTTGTATGAAACAGCGTCTAACTGCAGTTGATTACAATATCTTATGAATTCATTATACTTTTGAATGCCATTGATACAATTAAATAAAACCATTAAGAACATTTAAACCTGTTTTAAAATATTTATGATAAATCGTACACGTATTAATTAATTTCTGAATTTGAATTGAAATTTAAATTTTATTTTGAATTACCCCATATCATACTAGTTGCTTACAATATCGCCACGTATGGTCATCATTACTATGTCATTAAAGTCAATATCATGAATCAGTATTAAGTCTACTCTAGTCTAATCTTTACTCGTGAAGTATACTAAAAAGTGATCGGAAAGAATCTAGTATTTTTTGTGACTAATCTAACCGCTATCTTATTAATCAATCCTTTTATTTCCTCTTCTGTCATTCACGTAATTTGAGAGCAATAACAATTATTAGTTGGACATTTTAATTACCACAAGTGCTTTAAATGTGACTGTAGTTGTTAATAGACATTAAATAGTTCAACTTACTTCGATCTAACCATCGGATAGCGGACCCATGTATCTGTGGGGATGCCAGGAGTTCCTTCAGGAATTGCCAAAGATGTATATGTGTGCTGCCAGATTTGGCCTTTCCTCCCGCTGATGCTGCACTTACTCCTACAGACTCCGAATCTTCATCTATTTATGAAAGGAAAAACGAGTTGTAGTGGGAATAATCTTTAACTATACACAGACGCTCGTTTTGTTTATCAATTAAACAATTAAAAACGTTTTAAAATTGATAACAATCTTAAAATAATTGGATAGAATTAAATATTCATTTTCACTTTATTTTGGCAAAAAAGGATAAATAATTTCAAATTCTTCACATACTGAAACCAGTAACCTTTACGATAAACACACGGTAAGCAGACACTAAACGTTTAAAGGTAAACAAAACTCTTCAGTTTATCGACTTGCATTCTATATTTAAAGAATTCCTAACGTTAGAATTATTGCAATGCTTGTTCTTTTCTTTTGTGTAGATAAAACCAATATCAAGAAAAAAAAAGTGTATGTCCGTTTATAATAAATGAGAATTATGCGAGTATAGAAGGAATAAATGGAAGCAAATACGTGAAAGGTCTAAAGAATTTAGTACTAAAATAAACCAACATTTATTCCAATAGATTCCTTACGGGGAATTCTGGGGCAGAGAATAATGGATGTGAGGACGGTGCTAAAGCTTTTTTGTACGACAGCCTCAAGTGAGCGACAAATCTATCTTGATCAACACATAAGCGACCTTGCCAGCCTGCCTGAACTAGCCACACGATCGAGGTCGCCGGGAAATAGTACAAAAACTGTTGCACTCGACTTACATCGGGTCCATGCTCAAGTCGCGAATGGGACAGCGGGATGGACCGATAGATGGAATTACTGTAACGGAAGATTCATTTCGAAGAACCTTTCCATGTCGATTTTCTTACGTTTGAACGGTAAGATAAAGTTTTGGTTTTTGTTATGTCAATACCATATTCCCAGGATGAAGGTTACAAAGAATTAGTGATTACCTAATATGTAAAAATTAATAATTTAATATCGAAATATCGGATCATATCTACCAGATTAATTTTTAATGTTATCTTTAATAATATTCTTATGACAAAATTTGATATTGCAACATTTATTTTAATATTAATTGGCTTTTATCATACGGCATTTTCGAATTTATTTTGATGTTGATTACTATAAGTTAACTTATTTTTAATTGCCATGTGATAAACCATTTTCTTCGTTGAATTCTATCTCGTTATCGCTACACGTCAGTATAAATCTCTCCATAGCATACGCAATGCGCATGGAATGCTGCAACTCTGAGTGATAATTGTCGATAGCTGTTTCCTGTGCTACTATCTAACACTTTTTTTATGCCAGCAATCTCGATTCTAAACATGGTCACAACTCTTCAATTATGCGATTGGTGTATTTTAGTTTTAAAACATACCTAGACCTAGACCAGACCTAGACAGATTATTTCGAAGCTTTATTCTCAAATTATTCTGAGCATTCATAACAATTGATTTTATTAAAATCATTTTAGCTGCTGTAAATTCAATAGAGATACATTTTATTTATATTAGTTTCTTTTTAATTTAATAAGTCCTAATTGATTTCAGTTACTTTTAATGGTATTACGACCTTTATATACGCGAATGTCGCAAAAAGTTTTTTTTAAGTATTTATTAGCAACCACTCTCTTCTGTGTTTAATTTCATGTAAGCTGTGCCCATTCCGTCCAGATTTTCAATTCCCTCGTAAAGCGCATTTACAGCAGTAACCTATACGACGGTTGGACATACATCATTAGCTTGTTTGTCTCTAACGTCGTCTGTATGGGGGACACGGCGTCGGTTAACGGTTGATCACAAAACGCATGCGTCTGATGCATCGATGTGCCACATTGCATTGCCGCGCTGCAAACCGTTGGCTTTTTTGTTTGCATTTTATTAACAAGGCAATTTATTTTATTTATCATGAAATAGATCAATCATTTAATCGAACCTCGTATTCTAGATGGATAAACTAGAACCAATAAATCAAAGTATCTGTGACTTGTCATTTGTCACTCTTATATTTTTTTTAAATATGGGATATATTAAAAGTATGAAATAAGATTATACAACACACACAAATTGACAAAGGTGATAGGTATTGAATATTCAACTAATAATCGTGGCATTGCGTAAAATGATAAACCCTGTATATACATATATCTAATTATCTCTTAATGTTAAAGAGTTTATAATGAAAATTATCAAATCATTTCTGATCTAAATTCCATTATTTTGATTTATTAAAGTCAAGTTATTCTTACTTATAGTTGATGAGCTGTATTAATTGACAAGCAGTTTTATGGTCCTAATTTTTATAACTTACATATTCATAACGTTAATATTAATCTGATGAACCAATCGACGCAATAAATTAGTATACGTATCACCTTGAGTTATGTTATCTCAAGGTATAAGGTATAATTCATGAATGATAAGGTGTAAGACTGTCAGATCATGTTGTAAATCTGTCATAGTTTTCGAATTACTCACCATCGCTCATGTCCTCTGCTGATGGCAAAACTTGCGCGGGTTTAGGCGAAGCCTGTTCAGACTCAGACCATGGCGTCGGCCTCCAGCTCTCGTGTCTCGCAGCCTTCCATATCTCCAGTTGGGCATATAATGTACTTCCAGCCTATAACAATAACATAAACGTTTGTTACTGCTGAGTTGACTGGTAGGGAATGCCTTTGGGCATTAAGTCCGCCCTCTATCACCTGTATTACTTAAGGTTGGCAATAAATATAAATAAATAAATATTAAAGTCAAAGTCAAGTCAAAGTCAAATATCTTTATTCAATATAGAAGCATTCACTTACTTATTGATAGTCAAAAAACTCTACCACCGGTTCGGAAGGTAAGCCACTGACCTGAGAAGAACCCGCGTAAGAAACTCAGCGGGACATTTTTTTCTTTTTTTTTTTACTTGCCAAAAAAATTACAAATATGTGTACAATTATTAAACTCCACTTGAAAGAGCCTGGAGCGATCAATTCATTTCCAGAGTGTGTTATCATTCATATAATCACTAATACTATAATAGCCATTAACACACAAACGTTCCTTTACAAGTTTTTTGAATTTAGCAACGGATTCATTTTGAACGTTTTCTGGGATTTTGTTGTAAAAGCGTATACATTGTCCCATAAAAGATTTACTTATTCTAAGCAATCTAGTTGAGGGTAGAACTAATTTATGCTTGTTCCTAGTATTTACATCATGCACATTACTAAATCTTGAAAAGTCATTCTTATTTTTGTGGACATACATAACATTAGCAAGTATGTACTGAGAAGCTACAGTCAATATTTTTATTTCTTTAAACAGGTTTCTTAGTGAGTCTTTGGGGCCCAGGTATAAACCGCTCGAATAGCTCTCTTTTGCAGGATGAAAATAGTATTTATGTCGGCTGCATTTCCCCAAAGTAGAATGCCATAAGACATTATACTGTGGAAATAGCTAAAATATACCAGACGAGCCGTATCGACATCAATCAACTGTCTAATTTTTTTGACTGCAAAGTCTGCTGAGCTAAGTCTACTCGACAGTTTATTAATATGGGGGCCCCACTGCAATTTGGCATCTACGGTTATGCCAAGAAATACAGTCGAGTCAATGAGGTCTAACGCTTCCCCATGTAAAATACATCAGTTTTTACACTTTTTTACGTTGGGAGTTGTAAATTTAATACATTTCGTTTTTTTACTATTCAACATTAAGTTATTAGCACTAAACCAATGCACTACAGTGGAGAGAGTATTGTTAACGTCGTCATAATTTGAAGAATGTCGTTTAACTTTAAAAATTAAAGAAGTATCATCAGCAAACAATACTATCTCATGATCATTATTTACAAGATAGGGCAGGTCATTTATGTAGATGAGGAAGAGAAAAGGCCCCAGAATAGATCCCTGTGGAACCCCCATACTTACCAGGGCCCCGGGAGATCTCTTGCCATTCACGTCAACTCTCTGAACACGATAGCTCAAGTACGATGTCAGAAGATTGAGTGCGGCATCTCTTATACCATAGTGGTGTAGTTTTCTGACCAGAGTGTCATGCTGTACACAATCAAATGCTTTGGTTAAGTCACAGAATATGCCTAAGGCATCCTGTGACTCTTCCCAGGCTTCAAAAATATTCTTCACAAGCTGGATACCCGCATCTGTTGTTGAGCGACCCCTAGTAAATCCATATTGCTTGTTATGCAGCAATTTATGTGTACTAAAATGGAGTAACATTTGATTCAAAATAATTTTTTCAAAAATTTTACTAAGAGTTGGTAGTACTGAAATAGGTCTAAAATTGCTGGGGTCAGAAGTACTACCAGATTTGAACACCGGAATAATCTTACTATGTTTCATAAGGTCAGGAAACTCGCCACGTTCAATACAAATATTAAAAATAGTTGCTAAGTAAGGTGAGACTACATCAATTATAAAACTGATCACCTTGACAGAGATCCCCCATAGATCAGCAGATTAACTTATTGATTCAATGTAATAGAGGTGTCATAATTAAAGGCTAGACATTTAACTGAAAGTATGCCTATCACTAATTGTACCATGATAAATCAATAACAATATAAATACATACATAGTTCAATGCTTTTTTACGATTTATCATTAGATCAACTCGTTATTAAATGCTACTATAACTTAAGCAGGTATTAGCTTTTAACCTTTTAGTATGATTCTATTTTAAAAGATTCTCTACAAGTCCGAGCAAATGTGTGGTGCAATAGATAATATTAATTAATACAAACATTGATTGAGCATGGGCAACGCCCAACCGAACTTGCTACCAACCGGATTCAGTATTCTCAACTCCCTGTTTAGATTTGCATTCTTGTTTATTGTATCATATGAAGCTATGGCGAAATTTTGTCTATCAATTTGAATTGAATTGAAAACCAAGAATTAAAATTACAGACCAATTGTTTGTTTTGTGTCTAAGAACGGCTAGAATGGTGCAAACGTTAGAATATTTTTGCAACTAGAAGAATGTGTTCCAAATCAAAAAATATGATTTTTGGACATTAGCGATATCGATTTAGGTACATGATAAAATGTCCCCGTAATTAGATTACAATAGTATTACTTAATCTAATGAACTATGTCTATCTTATCTTAACTATATATAAATATAGGCATTGAGTTAGCATGGTACAATTAGTGATAGGGATAGCTTCAGTTAAATGTGTTGGCCTTTAATACACTCATTGTATAAGAGAAAAAGCTGAAATTGAAGATGAGCCGAGATATTAGATCAGAAAGGCGAGTGTATAATGCGAGTTGGTAGAAAAGGGCATTTTCCTCCGGGTGTCTCCTAACTGTGGAGCACTGCCTACTCCCGCAAGGCATTGTTCAAAATCGAACGGTTCGATTTGTATGCAAACAAGTGCGGTGAGCTTGCGACGATGGTGGACTTTCATCGCGGTGAAAGTCCCGAGCGGCGGCGCGTGCTATGACGACAATCTGCCTACCCATTTGACAGATTAGGACGGTGTCACACCAATTCCACCGCTATTGATATTTCGTCCCACATACAAAAGGGTGTGCAAACTAAACATTGAGATTCTTTTTAAATAATGAGCGATAATAATATACAGTGAAAAGTTAGTTGAAAAATTCGTTGAGAACTGCTAAAAAAATTCTGATGGGTGAATAATTAGCTTCTTATTAATACATTTCTAAGCAAGATTTAATGAAAACTTGTCATTTTTCAATCGATCATAAAACTAAACATGTATAATTATGTCACCGCCACTAATGAGTGCTTCGGTAAACTATAAGTTAATAAATAGAGTCTAATGAGGTTGTTTTCTCAACTAAGTCTATTAATTAAATAACGAACTGTTACATCGTTATAACGTAAGTTACGATTATTTCTTTTAGCTGACGACACTGTTAATAACTTTTCCGACTGTCACAATGACAGCCATTTCATGGCATAGCCTTAACTGGCATGGCAGATTATTCATGGTAGATGCTTGTACGTGTAAGCACGATTATAATACTTGTCACATAAAATGTTTCTATTCTAACCGGGGCTTGTGAATCCTAGCCCGTAATATATTATCCATATTAACTAATTATTACATGCTAGTTCCATTTTGCAGACGGATTTCCTCTTCTAGCGACGTCCCGTTACAATGGGACTTTACTGACATAACAAAAGGAAACTATCATCCAGCAGGCAGTGAAAGGGAACCTGAACTGGATGTAAATTTCCCCATATTATGTAAACAAGCCAAGTATAATTTTGTGATCGATAGTGACTTCATACAAATTCCTAAAAAAAATTGCTTGGTCATACATGTTTCGAGCAATGGAAAGAACAAAAACTGTGGTAGGGCCATGCAACAGCTTCTGGATAATATAATGGACAAACTCGAACGGGGAAGTACCTACGTTAATTTTTGCGTTACTTCATTAAAATATTGAAAATGTATCTAAAATCCTTCATGTGTTACAGACATCCATGGGCATTACTTAACATCATTTGAAAAACATTTACAAACAAACACACAGTGTCTGCACGAGTTTTACTTTTTTCCATTGTTTGCTGGCCTATTTACACGTACTATTCACTTTGCGCAGCAGATTTTTGTTTTTATCTTTCATGCTGTAACAAGTCTCTCAAGTAACGCGAATTATGTATGAGAAACATTCGCTAAGTAATTATTAAACTTACAAAGTTGTAACATGTTTAAAATTTACAACACTATATTTTTATGTTATTGCTTAACAATTAGAAAACCTTCCATTGTGTATAACTCAAAACAAATGTGATGTACGTTAATTAATTGTCTTTAACGCCATAAATTCAGAAGCGCTTGTTACCTCTGGTTCTTTGGTATGATGATCAGTGCAAATGATCTAGAGGTTTTAAGAAATCCACCCTTATGGTGGTAATTAAAGAATTCGTGTTCTATGCAGTGTTAACAAAAAATCTAGTGTATCATTAATAGTCGTCACTTATGGTAAAACACGTAAATATAACTTTTATTACTCAAAAATATTAAAATGCAATAAATGTTATAACTTCATATTTTATTTATAAACTGTATTTTAGACATTTTTTCATTTATCTGCGACACAATTAGATAACAACGAACTTTGCTCTTCTGCAATGTAGAATGGAATGTGGAATTGGTACTGTTTTATAATAATTACCACTTGTTGTTTTGATTACATGTTCAGTGTTTACATCCTCTTATCGGCAGCACGAGTGTCATACTGCGTTTTGATATAGACTGCCCTCAACAGTATCCACGGTCATCGACTAGAACGATGATATAATTATTTATTTAAAAAATGTGAGTGCGGAGATTATGATAATTACCGTTATTATAATTGAGTTAAAAGATTACAGGCCCACCTCTTGGTAACTTTTTTGTTGACCTCAAGTAAATCAACAGAATTTAGGTTGTCAACATACAAAACGAGTAATATTTGATGTAGTTGTTTCTTTTAAAGTACTTTTGCTTAACACATTAATGACACATATTCAAGTACTTTTTCATTTTATATCATATGGAATAGAGCTGTATATTTGTGTAAAATTTAATAAGATATTCGTTATTAAATCACCTATAAAATTAACCTATAAAAAATGGTCAGATTTTATCAGAAAACTATTTTTTCAAATTTTTTTTGAGTAAATATCTCACATCGTCTTTCCTACGCACTTGCAGGTCTCTTCACTTGGACCGATCCAAATCATCTTCTACTACCGTATTATAAGCATAATTATTAACTGAATTATCATTTTAATGACAATGTCCCTTTTATCAACAATAAGAAACATTTGCTGCGATGGGTTCTCTCCGTCGTTTACGTTCTTTTCTTCCCATTCCAACTAAAATTATGCTAGCACAATCCTTACTCCTGTCCATTCTCGATTATGCGGATGCAAGCTATCTTGATTTAACCGAAGAACAACTAAATAAACTTGAGCGTATTCAAAAATTTAGCCATTAGGTTCATATTTGGTTTACGCAAATATGATCACGTTTCCGAATTTCGTTCAATGCTCAAGTGGTTACCCATTCGTTTTCGCCGGAATCTACACACTGTCTCTCTTCTGTACTGTGTATTATTTAACCCTAGGAATCCAAGCTATTTAAAGGAACACTTTAAGTTTCTTGGCCATACCCATCCAGAACGAGTTCTGCGATCAGCTGAAGATCTAATTCTAGCACCACATGCGTACAAAACTAAATATGATAAGAACTCCTTTACAGTTAAGGCCATCTGCTTATGGAATGAACTTCCTCAGCAAATTCGTCGTTTGAAGACGCTAGACAAGTTTAAAATTGACGTAAAACAACATTATCTATCGCCTTGTAATCCATAGTTTTTAATGGCAATATTCAGATTTAATTCTTCTCTCGTGTATTTATTTATATATATTATATATTTATTTATGTTTATGTATGTTTATTATAATTTTGTTTAACTTATTATATTTAAGTCTATTTTGGTATTAAGTAAGTTTATTAAGCACACCACCTCACACTATTCATTAGTTTATTTTTCCTCGTCCTAAGGTTGTCTGGAAGAGATCGCTTTTTAGCGATAAGACCGCCTTATTGTAGCTAGCTTTTAAGACTTATTTCATACTAATTGTATCAAATTCTTTGTGGTGTACAATAAAGTATATAATAATAATAATAATATGACATGTGGGGTGGTGTGCCGACTGAAATTATCCCGATAGTCGTTTCTGCCAATGGGTTCATCCCAGTCAGCCTCTCTAAATATCTGAGGCGACTGGGACTCCGGGACGGATCGCTCCAAGCTCAAATGCAGAAGGCGGTGCTCCTCGATACCGCCCGCATCGTCCGCCGCTTTCTCTCCCTTTCGCCCTAACCCTCGGCCGTTTGGTCTCCCCTGCCGAGGGCTTCCGTCTGGTTGGGTCCTATTTATATATGTATTATATAAAATATTTATATATATATGTTTATTTTTATCCATAATATTTATTTTATGTATGCAATATATATCTATATTTTTATTTTTATTTATAAACCCAACCAGACGAGGAAACAAATGAATATCCCCCCATAATAATAAGAAACATAATTTTTATCGACGGTCGGCGTATTATTTAAAGTCATCCTTATTCATACCTTATTTTAATTTAAAGTCATCGTCTTTCCTCATTGTAAGGGTTTGATAATTTTCGTTAATAATGAGACCGTGATGTTGTTTTCTTACCTGTGGAGCTCTACGGTTGAACTCTTCCTCCGTGAGGGCGACTAACGCTGCTCCATCCATTGAGAAGTACTCGGCTGGAACCATTGGTAGGTTGAAGTGTTGCAGTGTGAACATCACCCAAGACTTCACGTCATCGGCACTCCATTGCATTGGATCTGATAGACGATAAATTCCAATTAGAATATATTAATTCAAACTCTTTAAAACATTACCGTGCTGTTGGATAGAACTAGTCTGTGTTGATAAAGTTAGTCATTTGTATAAAGCACTAATACTCGTCACAGCTATTAGTCGAACACCCTGCTTAGATGTCTACAATTTAGTTACCATGCCCTAAAATTATTAGGCCATCAAATGAAATAGTGCTTGAAGTAAATTTTGATATTAAAACATTTGAAAATAATAAATAATAAAACATCAAAGTTAAAGCTATACCCATGTTTGTGTATAGTTTTATAAAAAAATGCAGTGCAATAATCTGTCAATAATGAAAATACAAACGGCAAAGACGAGACATAATTAAAAGTGATTAGTTACAGAGATCATCAATAATATCAGAAACCAAATTACGTAATCAACTGCTAGGATGAGAAGTTCTCGGAATTACGAACAAACAATTATGTGCATAAGCAGAAACTAACGCGGGTCGTACTTAGAAATACTTGATTTTTTAACGCGTTTGCAATGAGGATTACGTCATCAATATACTGCCGTCACAGTGAAGCGCGCGTATTGTCAGTATAGTCCTACTGTTTAAATTGTGATCAAATCCCAATCCCGGGAAAAGCAAGGTCATAAAAAGATGATAAATTCGCTGTCACCTTAAATCCGAAACAAACAACTACTTATTTTTAGTTTTTAATAACGTATTTGTTAACTTCCCACCTTAGGCGGTGGTCGAAAAAACGTCTTAAAATAAATATGAAATGAGTATGAAGAGTTGCGATACTTGCGATTGCGGTAAATAGCTTGATAGCCTTATTTTTTTACTAAATTCTATCTTACAACATTGTTGTAAGATAGAATTTAGTTTCAAACACACGTGATACACGTGTATCGTATTTTAATGTAAAACGATGACTTAAAGCAATAAGACATGTTGATGACTCACCAGGTGAGATTCCAAGTACGGTACAGGTATTGTCCACATCTCGTTTGGACTGTTCGATTGCCATCGAGAGCACACGGTCTATGTCTGGGGCTACTAGTGCATCGTCGCCAGTTCCGCTCGCACCGCCACTACTTTCTTCCATCTTCACACTGCCCAATTCTAAAGGAATAGGCCTGAGGTTCAGCCGCTTCTGGAATGATGTGTCTTCAAGGGCTGATCTTAGTAGAATGTGATCCCGAGGCTCCTCCACTTCAAGTTTAGGTGTGATGTACGTATGCTGGACACTTTCTTGCAGTATTTGATTCTCTTTCAACAACTCTTCGATGTCTATATAATCTTCGTGATGTGAGACCGGTGAAGAATATTGATTGTGACTGCTGTAGGAAACGCAGGAACCCGAAGGCGAAAGGGGATAGGGAGAAGCGAATTCTGGGACGGACAATCTGTTCGGTTCCTCCTTGACATAGACTGGTGGGGAGTACTGAAAAGAGTTGTAGGGCGAGGGTGGTTGCAACGCCACCGTGGGAATGGATCCTTCGTCGGACGAAGGAGACGGTGTTGGGTAGCCCTCGAAATCGTACAATCGCTCTAGGAAGCCGTTGTTGTCCTCGGGATAAGGAGGGGGCGGCTTCGCGTGTGGATTAGGAGGGGAATGCAACATCGGTTCTGGAGGGGAGGCGGCGCCCAATATGCGCAACAGATGATGAATATCCGCCGGCGAGGCTGGAACAGTTCTTTCACCCTGGGAGGCTGACGGCGGGCTACACCCGGATCGAGGTACTGTCTGTGGCATCTGCGAACAAAAAGTTAAATACTTTATTTCAAGCGCCACAAATTTACGCTCCAATAATAATTGACCTGTCTTGTATGTACAACTATAGTCTCGCCAATTTTACCCAATAGGCATATGGAGAACTAATCGCAAATACATTAGGCTGCCGCTAGCTTACGTCACGGCGAACCATTTGACGCGCAGCCAGATGTCTCAAGCATAACATTCTCTTCAGTTTCACGACTTGTTTATTTATCTAAACGTCAAAGAATTCTAAATTTAGGTGTGACTAATGACTCCAGTTCTAATATTAAATCGTTTAACAGCGTTGCATGGAAACAACATGTTTCTTCATTGAAATTTTACAATTAATAAATTCGAATAGCTTGTTAAACTTTGAAGCGAGACGAAGGGGGCAAGAAATTGCAAATTACTTTTGAGTAATTTTTAACGCTGTTGAATCGAATCCTAAAGAAATCTTCCAGAAATATTTCCCTTAAATGAATTAATTTCAATATTAGGTACTTAAAGCAACGAAAGTCCAATCACATCTACTAAAGGAGCTATCTCCAGGTTGGCAGGCAGATATTTAAGATAATCGAACGCAGACAAGTGTTTTCTTGCATGCGTAATATTTTTTGTTATAAGAACAATGTGTTTCCTCCCACGTAACAGGTCGACGTAATTGTTGACTGCAATCATACATTTCCAACTATGGCGTGGGAACGACGATGAGCGATAAATGAATATCTATTGCAATTGATGAAGAACGTTTATAACCATAGTAGCAGCAATCGCGACCAATTTATTACCAACAAAATTGGCTCGTAAGGTTAAGATTACGCAAGATTTATCATGAGATCTGACTTTTGTTCGACTATTATTTCACCTACCGGTGAATTGAGATGTTTTCGTAGAACATAATATTCAAATACAATATATTTGAAACACTATGACTGGCTACATCGCAAAACTCTACGAAAAAAAAACACGACGTGAATAAAATTTACATACGCCGAAGATGGCGAGTAAAGTTTAAATCATAGCGTCAATCGTAACAACGATTCATTTGATGTATGAAAATAATCTTATTTGGGTTCTAGAATATCGTATGAATAAAACAATTCGCTCTTTTGATAGGTTATGCAGAGCATATCTAAGTTGATGATGTTTTTAACAAAGGCAAAAAAAGAAGCAGGGAATGAATAAATGAATAAAACTGTAGACATTTCAAAGTTATGCGAGGTATGCGGAAATATTTACGATTTATAAAAACGTGGCGGTCCAATATCATGAGGAACGGATATTGTTTGCACCGAATGTTTTACGCTATTGAGTCGTGATGTCATGTGTCATAACTTTATGATCATGCTTCGGTATTTTATATTGAAAAGGTGAATTTACGATAGCTTGTAAAATAAATACCAAAATTTATGAAACAAATCTCCTTAGCGTAACTTATCTCGCGCCGTTCGACCGCAAAAGTCAACGAACTAAAATTACCGTTTATTTATTTTATTTATTTACACTTTATGCACAATCTAGTACAAAGGCGGACTTAATGCCAAAAGCATTTTCTACCAGTCAACCTTAGGGTGGTGTCGAGATATCGAGGTAGGTGCACAGATATAATGTGTAGAACGATGACGGGTTATTCACACACTAAACAAAAATAACATTATATATATATATATATACATAAAATAAAATATACATAAATACTATACAATATATATATCCACAATGTAACATATACCATAAAAATAAATGTAATATAATAATATATAAAAGACGCTGTTGGCTATTAAAGACGATACTCTCGTTTCAATTATAGTATATCTAATCTGATTGTTTATATTCTAAATACTATTAATTATAACATCTCATATGATGATTAGTTATAGTCTAAATATTATAAATTTGATTGCCAAAGTTATATATTTTCGTAGGGGTATGACTGGCAACAGAGTTTTACATCGATTCAACCCATGCACTGCGTGACCGGTCTCAGTGGCCGTTGCTACAATTTCAATGAGACCTTGGGTTTTTTTCGAGAACCGACAACGCCTAAAAGCCTTTTAGCACGGAATTGACGAGACCAACATACCCAGTCCATGATCACCTGTACTTTTCAGACAAGTCGCATCCGTATCCTATATTATGATACGTAAAAAACTAACCATGTACACTATAAAAAAATAAATCAATACATTTTTAAAAGGTTCAAAGTTCATAAAATATAAATGTTTATTTGTAATTAAAATGCTAAGTTCATAACCCAACAAACATTTACTACAAATTTACAGGACAGTAATAGTAGCATAATCATGTCCCAGGTCTACACACGTAGCATCGCTATCAAGTGTAATAGAACGGACAAAGTTTAGAGCGAAATTTTTGCATAATCAAACAATAACGAACCCAGTCTCGTTACAAACTAGATGTCTCAAGCAGATTAACTCAAATTGGCCATTAGTCTGAATACACCGTGCCTCAAAGTAATTTATATCCTCCATTACCTGGTGCAAGCTAATAAGAACTTTATGTGATAGTCGCAAACATTAAAATTGTCTGAAGCGGCATGGGATGTATCAACAGAATCCGCTGCGTACTGTAACCTTCTAACTCCCTTTATTCCGCCAAGACTACAGCCGAGTTAATAATACAACTTCTTGAACAAAACACCATAACATACTAGCAACTCAAATATCAACTAACTCTACGACTCCTTTGTGTTTAATTGACTTCACGCAAAGAAAACTAGGATTGACATCATGAACACACGAAACGAGACATCGAATCAGCAATCGCCGATTGCCTAATCTCAACTCACGTGCGCCTCCGGTAATGTATCCGTTCGGAATGTCACAGTACAAATATAAAGCCGCACTCACACGTCCGCTGGAACGTCAGCCGGGGTGAGGTCGAGGCGCGTAACGTTTTTTTAAGCGACTCTACGCGGTCGGGGTAGAGTCGGCGCGGGGTTGGCGCTCCGTCCGCGAAGGTTAGGTTTTTTGGTCCATGTTGGCGCGTGTGCGCCGTGAGTAGATCACGCCACCACTGAGCCCGCCGTCCGCGCACCGTGGCTTTGACTCAATGAACGCCTGCGTCACATCGGGAAGTACGCGCTACGGTGCCAATATCGAAAACTTAATAGAGTCTGCATCAAACACAATGCGTTACGTTACGGCGGACGTCACGCCGTCGACCGATCAATTGCACGCGTGTAACGCTGACGTTTGCGTAAAGAGAAAATTAATCTGGTTCCTTAATTTGTTCTCCCACTCCGCCTTGCCTACTGTTTTTTTCTCTGATGTAGAGCGCAACGCGAAAACTCACTTACTTAAAGTATAGGACGTGTGAATATATTTTTCTTTTATTTATGTTAAAAAAAAATTGCCGTTATTTTAGGATAACATTATCCTGTGTTGTAAGGACCAGATGCGAAACAACTATCTGTGGGTCACACAAATCGTTGTCCCGTGTGGGAATCGAATCCACACCCCCCGGCACTGAAGCGAATACCATGGCAACTGCGCCATGGAGTCTTTTCTTTTAATTATAGATTATTTACTACTATTTTCGGTAAGACTATTTGATATTATGCTAGTCTCTACAAGTAAAAAGCTATTATATTATATATCATTCACGTTACTAAATAAAGTATTATCTCGATATATTCTTTGACCACTTGTAAATCCTAGTCAATTTACCAATAATAGTGGAATTATCATAATAGTTATACCACACATACATATATCACTGTTACATAGTAATATATGAATTTTTAAATCATTAAGTTTTATGACTTCAGTTTAATTTGTACATCGAGCAAGTACGTACATAACTAATATAAATTAATCGTTAATTTTCATTCGGGATTTTATCCAAAAATTTCAAGAGTAAAATCTTTTCATTCTGAATTTGGATAAAAAAGAACATATGAATCCATGAAAATGATTTATTTTAATGACCCAAATATTGATGGCATTTCACTAAATTTTTAACCGACTTTAAAAAAGGAGGTGGTTTCTCAACTAGACCGTATATATTTTTATTTTTTTATGTGTGTTCGCGGATAATTTCGTCGTTTATGAGCCGATTTTGATGATTATTTTTTTATCAGAAAGCAGGTGTCCCAAGGGTGGTACCATGATAAAGAAACCCGGATCTGAAGATGGCATCCCAGAGAAATCGAGGGCCGCATTGAATTCTATAGGTATTAACAATGTTTTTAATTTTCTGATTGAAGTTTTTTTTTTGTTAAAAATTATACTCGTATAAAATGTTATGATCTTGTTGTCCATTACTGAAAATAAACCCGTGTTTACTTTTTAAACTGTCTAATAAGTGATGACGTCAACGGTGGCGCGACTTCCTCACTTCATTCATAGTTTAATTATAACGCTACGTATAAGTAGCACACACACGCATACATTTGAACACGTTTACATTTGAACACACACGTAGAGCAATGACGCCTGGGCACGTGGGAAAAACTTTAGGTCGTGATATAATTGTTTATAAACACAGTCGGCAACGCAATATGACATATGATTCACGAGATGTACAAACCATAATAGTCTTAATCACGGTTGAGCAAAGACCTAAACGACTTGAAGGTTTTATCAAGGCACGTTCAACTTAAGCGGCCTGTGTGTATTTAAACATCTGTTCTGAGAAATTGTTATGTACGTAATCTCGGTGAAGAATAATTTAACCGATTATACGTTGGCTATTATTGAAATATTTTACTTCTTTAATCGTTTGAGGCTTGACAACCGTTTATGTCTCATAAATTTCTTATTTCTCTCTGGTTCAGATATCTATTACTATTCTGAAAATATTTTATTACTTATATTCCTGATAAATTTGATGATTAAAAAGCATAAGTAATGGTAATAAGGATTGGTACTAAGGTAGAAAGGACTTTCTATAATATCGTTACTTATCTATTAATAAATGAAAATGAGTTTTATATGATGATCAAAACAGGTCCAGATTTTTATTAACAAAAAACA